TCAAGAGGCCTGCATAACTTTCTTACTGGTTAGATACATGTGAACTTTATACATGTATAATCTAATTTTACACATGTACACAGGCATACATGCTATATACACCAACATTATTACTATAGCAGTGAATATACCTTTTATTCTTCTATGTTTTTTAACTTTAAAATTATAGATCAGTTATGCAGTACAATTTTAATGAACTGGTTCTGTACATTTACATGGTATACAGAGAGACATATAGAAAACCTAAACAATTTAGCTTAAAACTTTATAATTTTAGTGTCCAAGGTATTTAACCAATATGAGAAATTTGATTAGACACTAAAATATTCATAAAACCGAAACAGGGACCAGCATTTTTAATTGAACTGATATCCTAAAACACAATTTTGGTTGTTGAATTCCAGATTGAAAATATGATTAAGAAGAAAACAAATGGTAAACCTGCCCTAGAAAACTAAATAATATTGCTGCCAAAATGAATAATAGGGTATGACCAAACTTGATCTCATTTGAAAAGAGATACAAAGACTTTCTGAAAATAGAAAGTTCCATTAAGTTAGTTTGTTCCTCAAGATGCAAATGTATACAGTATTTTGCATGAATCAAAAATATGCCTGAGCAGTGATTCTTCATAGCCAAGAACACAGCCTGTATATGAAGGTCCAAGTGTTATGTATCCTGTGTATGGCAACATTGCTAGTGCAGGATCTGCTTTTCAAAGAGAGGAGAAAGGGCTCTCCCAACGATGTAAGAATCCTATGGAAAATGGAAAACACCAAGGGCTATACAGGGGTGTTTTGTAGATGAAATAAATCTCTAGTTGATTTGATTCGTAGAAGTAGAAGAGAAAGTGGCTCACTTGCTATGTGTTTACCAATAAATGAAACAGTAGCCAGAGGAGTTGCAAAAAAAGTTTCCCACATGGACTAAGAAAGATGGCGATGGAAATCCAGCTTGATTCTGAGCAGACTTTCTGTGTAAACCTGCCTTGACCTAAAAGGCATTCCCCTCCCCCTTTAAAGTATCTTCGAGGAATAATTAGCTGTCCAATTATTGGCAAGTCCTAATATATTAGGCTTGTGCTTTTGCCTGGTCTAGGGCACATCTGCATTTTTATCAATAGGATGCAATAAATAAAACTGGGGAAAACCTACGATTTCAGCTTTCAGCATTGCTGACCATTGGCTCCCATGCCATTGCTCTTGTTTCCTCAAGAATGTGGTTCTTCAGAGTTAACCTTCTAAGAAAATTTATGAACCTTATAATTGCAATTGTGAGTTCATGCCCTTCAATATTACCGTAGAGACTGGGATTCTTCGAAGTTAAAGGATTGCCAGGAACCACAGCCAGGGCTAGAAGCCATGGCTCCCTGTATACTTTGTCTCAAGGTCATGCTGGTCAGACCATGCTTGGATCAAAACATGAGCCTAAGGGTATGATACTTTGCTCTTGTCACTGGCTTACACTTTATTCTTTACTTGCACGCCTGTCTATATGCACTTTTTCTAAGAAAACATTAAACCATAATATACTTTAGGTCTTTGTCAACATTTTATTCTACCTTAGGTAAACAGACAAAGGATTACTATCCAATACTTCACTTATTAATTGATATAAAAAATTATTGATACCAAAGGTATTCATTCTGTGTAACATTTAGAGAAAAAAATCTAATGTATATCATAATAAAACTTATGAAAATGTGAAATAATAACAGCACAATGTTGATATAGGTAAGAATTTTTTTATGTCAAATTTTTCTAAATTCACCTAGCAATAACAAATGTAAGAAAGATGTTTTAATGCTGGTTTTATATTTTATATGAAAACGTGATCCTTTTCAGAGGAGATCTTCTATAATACTACTTTCCTATTTGGTTATTAACCTAAATGATGTTATTCCACTGGATTTCATATGTGTTGCAGGTCCTGCTGGGAAATCATAAAACTAGGCTCATTTAGGAGGAGGCAATGTGGCTATATCAGAAAAGCTGCCATATGTGAAACCTCACTTTATGCCTGTTGAAATTTTTGTATTTCAGGTCTCCCAGGGACATGTCCATTGTGCTATTGTGTAATTTTATCAGCATGAACTTCTGCTGAATATTTTTCCTTCTTTTCAAAATCCATATTTTAGTAGAACTAACTTCAAAACTTAATGTTGCAACATCTGTGCCCATACACCTGGGAGCCATAGAAGATGTATCCTGAAGATTATCTACATTTTCTAATATAAAATGCTACAAAAAGACAGAAAAACATTATATATTTTTCCTGGTCTGGATTTTTTTTTTTTTAAAGGAACCACTTTCTGCCTCCTTAAAAGGATTCTTACAATAAAAGAGAACTAATACTTCTAGAGTTATAAGGAATATCTTTACAAATGTAATAAAATACTCATTGGATTTTTAGAGATAATTCTTAATACGTATGTACAACTTTTGATTGAGACAATTTTGTGAACACAAAATATGGAGCTATAGTCTTAAAACATTTTCAAACAAGACTTTTTATAACTAAATCAAAAGAAAGTTAAAAGAATTTGCTGCTTTGAATTTATTTACTACGTTTCTTTTGTGGATCTACCAACAGCTCAATGGTATCTTATTTAGAAAATAGAAATTATGGTTTTATTTATTTCTGAAGTAGAAGATTGCGATACTGACAAACAAGAAAGTGTTTATGAATGGAGAGAAATGTTTTTCACCTGGCTTCCTTCCATTAGTTGTTTAATCTCTTTAGAATAAAATACGTAGCAATGTAAAGCATTTAGAGCCATATCAAAACGGCCTTCATGAAATGGTGCTGCCAATCATATGGGTAGAGCCAGTTGTTGTTGAAGGATAATGTAGAATATGTGACTTTCTACAGATTTAAAATAGTTAAGAAGGACAATGAATGGACTTGGGGAAATCACATGTGGATTTTCTTGACTTTGTAATCAATTTATCAAATTATGATAAATACTAAATACTTATGGAGTGCATTCTATGTGTCACACATTATTTTAATTGCTTTGCACATGTTACTCATTAAATTTTCACCATAACTGTATGTGACAGGTACTTTTGCAATCATCATCTTACAGATGAAGAACCTGAAGAGATAGGTTAAGTAACTTGTCCAAGGTTATCCAGCTTGTCAGTGGTGGAGCAGAGCTACTGCAGAAGGCCAGGAGTCTGCATTACCTACTTTTCCTATGACTACTTTTCATATACACAACAAAATAGCTTTTCACTCTTACTTTGATGCAAAGTATAAGATGACAAAGGTGATGCATTTAAAATTATTTCAAATTTAAACACCAGAAATATTCAAGGCAGGGCCAAGCGGAATATCTATGCTGAAGACGGGAAGGGAAAATGTGGTTAATTCAAGATTACCAGCATTGGTAGTCATCTTACAGTGAAAAGTCAAATTTTCACAAAGAAATTCAACCTCATAGTTGCTCAAAGTAAGTAGCAGAACTTCACCTTGCTTTTTTCCCACATGCCATTCCACCGTTATCAGAAAAAGATTGGCATATTTACAAGGAAGAGGGAAAATGAGGGTATTTAATCCTTCAGGCTTCAGAGTAGTGTTCAATGCTTGGGAAGGCTCTGGGAGAAGGGAAACATGTCAATGTGTGCTGAATGCCAGCTTTTTGCTTACAGGTCAAGTCAAAAAGAGGAAAATGTACAGCTGTTTGATGTTCCCTTTTACCATTTGCATTTCTTGAGGCGCAATGAACAAAGCAAACAATTTCTGCTACAGAGAAATTAAGGTAACATGCACAGCATTGTCTATTTTACATTTTAAAACTGCAGTTGAAGAGAGCAATACCATGTATCTGATTCTGAGTAAGGGTTATATCAATTCTCAGTTATCAATGTTAGACATGAAATAACTTCAAATATACCCTTTATTTGACTTGACGGAACATGGATTCATGAGTCTGAACTGGGATTTGCAATAAAGGAAAGGTTATTAGAGGCATAGGCATGGAAAAATATTGTGCTGTAAATGGAGTCAAAATTTTAAAAGTGTCAAAATCGCTCACATGGTTTAGCAATTAAACTGTGTCAATGCCCCTGCCAAGAAGAGTTCATAATTTGGAAGCTGTAGTTGCTATTGACCTGATTTTACAATTGAGATCATGTCGAATTTTAATTTGGAAACAAAATTGATCACCGTGTTCTATAAACAAGGCCTGTCAAGTTATTACTCTGCAACTGCTTTGAAAATACATATTTCTTTAAAAGTAGTAAGATTTATGATATACTGTAACAAAAATTATTTTATGAGCTTCTTTTAAGAAATTGCTTTATATTTAAAAATCGAGTTCTTTTAGTTCTTCAGTAAACACTAAGTTACTCAGAATAGTTTTTAAGAAAATATTTTTCAAAAGATTTCTATCTTCACTCCAATACATTGGTTTCTTGGCCCAAATGCTGCTTCAATATTTACGGAGTGTTCATTCCTCCTGAGTTTTCAGAAATCATTATAATGCTCACTTCTTTTTTAAAAACAGTATTCAATATTATTGCATCCTAATATTAGCAAACAAAGCCTGCAATTGAGGTTCATATAACATGCATATTTTACATACATTGTTTCTTTAATTGCTACTATAGGAAGGAAGGCAGATCAATACAAAAAGGCCAGTCTATTTGCTTTAAAGCCATTTCAAATTTTCTGTGAACTTTATCCCTCTAGTCCATCATTTTGATTTCTTTTAGGCTTTCTCAATACAATAATTTTAGAAATTTAAATGGAATCTAAATGAATAACAAAAACATCCTTATGCTACAAGTAGTTGCTGAAACTACTTGTTCCAAGCATCTTCTTTTGCTACTTCTAGATTTTATTTTACTTTCAAAAGCAGATTTGGGGTAAAGGAAATGTTCATTTTCCCCCTTTACAAGCTGTAATTGCATGAGGATAACTTTGATGGTTGAATTCTAGGCAGGAATCCAAAGAAACTCTCTATTCTTGATGGGTTAACTGAAGAGCAGCCCTACCTTTTTGACCTTCAGTTTCTTCTTGGTCATCTGTTAGTGGAATCACTTGAGGTTGCTCCACAATCACGGCATCTTCTTGCGATGAAAGTTCTAAATAGAATGAGACAGAAGGACACTCAGGGATGTTTTAGTTGGAATTGTTGTGAGAATACAGTGACTATGGCATAGAAAGTTAGAGTTCTTTCTTCCCCCTTCAAGTTTCAATAGGTCCACCAAGTTGACACTATTGCTCTCCTCCAGTAATCACTGCCTAAAACACACACACATACCACTCACATACACAGGTATATATAGATGTCATGGTTCACAGTTTCGTCTCATTCTCTGATAATATATTTGGGTTTTAGTACCTTCCGTTTCCATATATGAGTTCTGGGGCTCTGTTTCAATTTTTATTTCATTCTTCGTTGAATCATTCTCTTGCCCTGTTAAAAATAGTGATTGAAAGAGAAAAGAAATGTGATATGCATGACCACAGCTTTATTCCTGACCTTCAGAAACCATGCTTTAATCATGCATGGAGAGATAGAGAACAGTTTGGGAACCAAAGTGGAGGGCAAAGTTACCATTTTTCCAATCATCCGATGTATATCAATTATTTTCTGAGAAATATTCTGATAATTTAGGCAAAAAATCTTTTTTTTTCCTTGAAACTGATTTGAAACTGGCATACTTCTTTAGCTTATCAATGCACAGGATATGGATGGAGGACACAACCTGGAAAATTTCAAATTTTACAATAATTTCCAGGCTGTATGGGTTAACTACATTTAATTTCCTTTTAAGATATTAATATTTCCCATAGTGAGGATTCCTAGAAAATGAAAACACTACTTACACTTTCATTTTTCCATCAACAGAGCATAGAAACTTGAGTAACGTGAGCACATGGTAACTGGGGGGCATAACAGCTCAACCATTCTCTTCAGACACATACTAAATACAGCAAAGGTCAGGAGAGAATTCAGCCGACTCTTGATTACTCCTAGGCTGATTAACTAGTAATGGTTTTTCTTCCACACCCCTTGGCTTCTCCTCCTACCCTCCCCTGTAGAGTTTAAAACATTTAAGTGCTTATTAAGAGAGGAAATTGAAATCTGTCCATTTTGCCTTGGGCTAATGAAAGATTCTGTGCTGAGGATATTTAACTATGGAATTAAAAAAAAATATTCTAGAGCTAGGGTTGGTTATAGGTGCAAAGCAGACTAAGAGGAGCTTGAACTCTGCCTGATTCCATTCCTGTGGTAGCATTATGCTTTTGACTTTTCTCTACCTCTTCCTGTAAGAGGATTATATTTCCCTGTCTGTGACAGTGTGACATGCAGCAGCCCTTGTGGGACAATTGTATGTTCCCATCTCATTGACACAGGCCTGTTCATGTAACTTGTTTAGGAAATGGCACTGGAACAGGTGTCGAGCGTGCTGCAAATGACCAGAACCCTTAAGATCCACTGTAGGTTGCCTGCAGCTCTTCTGCCCCTAATAGAGCATGTTCCTTCATCTAGATCCTGAATGGCAAGCATGTGGAACACAGCCAAGCAGGGCCAAGAAGAGACACAACCAACCTTTTTCTTGAGCCCCCAGTGTGACTTTTGGGGTTATTTGTTACTGCAGCAAAGCTGACTCATATAATCTCTCATCTTACAGCTTCCTCTCTGATAAAATTATTTTTAAACCTTCCATGATACTACTTGCCCTTGATTCATTCTCTGCTAGCATGACACAGATGGGGGGAAAATCATGTTTTTTGTGTAATATCCACTCCCCCTGAGCTCAATTTTAATCAAAATGAGCCAATAACATAATTAAAACTAAAGCATATTTATCTATTTGATCATTGAATATAAAAACCTCAAGCTGTTTTTGATGATTTTCTTTCATCACTCCTGAAGTTCAGTGAAATGCCATCTTTATGATTCTGCAAAACATTTCTGTTTTCCCAGTTTCCAGTCTCCTGTCTTCTCTCCTCATTTAAGGATATATCATCTGTCTCTTGGATCTTTCGTTTTCTTCTCCTTTATTCTATTTTGTGATTTGATAGCAGAAAGGCCTTTTAAAATTTGAACTTGTTCAAGACCGTTCTGAAAAACCCCATTCATCCTCATTCTTCCCCGTCGCTGCTCAAAGTATGTCCATGGACAAGCAACACTGGAATTACCTGGGAGCTTTTTAAAAATGCAGAATTTCAGGCCTCATCACAGACCTACAGGATCAGAGCCTGCATCACATAACAATATGTCCATGTGATTGGTATGCAAATTAAAGCTTGAGAAGCACTGACCTAGAAGATGTAAGTGAATCTGCAAATTATTGATCTCATAAAAAATGCCAGACTGTCCCTAGATACTTCACATGTATTATCTCTAATCATCACATTAGCCCTGGAAAGTAAGTGCTGTGATCTCAGTTCTGCTTTCAAAAATCATAACTAGCTCTACCTGACTACAATCCCTCTTTTTTTTTTTTTTTTTTTTGCCTGAAAACGTCTTTATTTTGCTTTTTAGCTCTTAAAATTGAGATCTACTTGCATACAGTAAAATGTATAAATCTTAAGTAAATATCTTTATGACTCTTTAGATATATACACATGAATTTTCCTATGTAATTACCATCCAGATCAAAAACAATTTTCTTACCAGTGGCTTCCTCCACTGTGTAACAGTGTTGTGTGTTTTTGAGATTCACTTAAATATAATATGCAGCATATATTCTTTTGTATCTTAGTTTTTTTATAACTGTTGTCTGTGAAATTAATTCCAGTTGCTGTGTGCCTTAATTGTTTATTCCTTTTCATCGATATATACTATTCTAATATCTGAATATACTATATCATATGAGTGTTGACTTGTTTTCAGTTTGAGGCTGTTATGAATAACACCGCTAAAAACATTTTTGAATGTTTCTTTTGGCAGATATATTTTAATGGACTCATATCATTTGGGTATAAACCAGGTGACCGAGAACAAGTAGGTTATATAATAGGGAATATGTATGTTTAGCCTTACTAGATTTTACAAAACAGTGTTCTAAGGAATTTGTTCCGTAAAGAATCCTTATACATACTTCTGCCAGAAATGTATAAGGATTCCATTTGCATCCTTTATTCTTTAGATTATGTCATGTTACTATGAGCCACAAAATATGTAGCAGAAAGCAATTTAAAATCTTTCACCCCAACCCAGTTTCACCCTTATCACCTTTGGATACTATACAGAATGATAATGATTGTACTACTGGTTATTCATTCTACAATGTATTATATGCCATCAGTGGTAAATATATCTGGTGGTGGGAGTAGATCTTCAGTAAGATAGAGACAGTGCTTATCCTCAGAAAACATACAGTTGCTGGAACACAAGCATTATATGTGAAAAAGGTTCTTTCTATTAAGATATAAAACAGAATTTCTACTTTTTGAGGAAAAAATCACTTTGAGCAGATTTTTGGATTATGGGAAATTGTGTGGAATAAAGACTATATTAGACAACAAAATGAAGGCTGATATACTCTCAGTAAATTAAATGAAACCAGGACATTTAAATACTCTCAGTAAATTAAATGAAACCACGACATTCATGTAAAATTCTAAAATCAATTTTATAAAATCAGCCTCTAGAAATAGGATGGGAGCACTTCAATCCCATTTCTGATGAAATTGGGCCACAGGTTTTGCCTTTCAGGTCTGCTATAGATAAGCTTAGACAACAGAATGACTGCATGGAGAGAAGGATTCTGTTATAGAAAGTAAAGGCAATATCTTCAATTGATCCCCTGGCAATGTCTTGCTTGGAGAGCTATTTCCTGCTGTTCAAACAAAGAATGTACTAAAAATTAAAACATAATGTAATTATGCTGAGAGAAAATACTTTTGTAAAAGATATGTTCAGAAAAACAAAAACTATAGAAAGTGTCTTGTATTTACCTGAAATATAAGAATTGATGGGTAAGGAAATGAGAAGATTAAATTAATAGAAAATTGATATAGACATTAAGAAACAAATGTTTTAGTTATTCAAACTCGAGTTCACTAAGAAAGCAAAGGTAGTGAGCAAAATGAAACGTGAAATGATGATAGATGTAGAAAACAGAAAATAGCAATGAATTTCTAATCTAAGGATTACAGGAAGTCTAAGCAGCAACATTTCATCCATCTGAAGGCAACCACTAAGTGACATATTATGAGATTTAAAAAGATTGTAGAAGGTAGAATGAAATTTCACTTTTTTAAGCATACACATAACATGTGCCCTTATACATATCTATATTAGCAGGGGCAAAAACTGAAAGGCTGTAACTCAAATGTTAACACTGATTATCTTTCAATGGTTGTTGAGATTTAAATTCATAGTATTTTAATTTTGCTAACCTACATTTTATAACAATTGCATATTATATAATTTATTATAACAAAACAATTTCAAAAATGAGGAAAAATGCTCTTAGTGATAGCTTAGAAGAAAAAATTCTAGCTAAAAGGTATGTTTGTGTAAGTCACGTGTCTAACCAAATTTAATTACTTTTTCTCAGTCTCTATTTGCACTCTAGAAACACTTAAGAAATAGAATTTTTAAGCAAAATTCTTGTTTCTTTTTAATGTCTCTCTTTTTTGTCTTTTGGCCAAATCACCTATCTTTCCCTGTGCTCTCTATATACCAACATAATCATTTTCTAAATGTATTACTTTATTTCTTGCCTTTGTACTTAGCACGTGTTTCCAATGACTAAAATATCATTTTTCTTCCTTTCTTATATGGAAGATTATCCTCATCTTTCAAAGCTAAACCAGCAATTTAGTTTTTTTGTATAGCATTTTTGGAATCACTAGGCAGGATTAATCATTTTCCTATCTTTGCTTGTTGAGTTCTTTTGCCCATTCATCTATTTATTATCCTGATCACACTGTGATGTAGTTGTGTCTGTGTTTGTTTCTCTTACCAGATTGAGAGATAGATTTTGTTTTATTCATATTTTCCTTCCCAGCACCTATTTAATAAGATGTCATCAATGAATGTCTATTTAATTGGACTTCTATTATAAGAGTCATTAAGGACTATAACTTACTTTCTCTTGCATCCTTTAACAGCAAGGTAAAGTCCCTTACATTATTAAATACTCCACACACTATATTTGCTGCAGAGAACGCTGGAATGGGAATAAAGATAACTGGATGTTTTAGGCAAATCACAACCTCTTTGGCACCTAATTTCATCATCTATTGAAAAGAAAAAAGGCTGAGGAACTAGATAATTTCCTAGGTTCACAGGTATGTCTTCAGATGAAGTTTCCAGTCACATTGACATTTGTTTCTTGAGTAGATGATAGTGAGAGGGAACCTTCACTGTTTATTGAGTGAGCTTCATTCTCTATCACTGTTGATAGAGGGAACTGACCATTGCACCTAAACATCGCACCAGGTCCTTGCAGG